GTGCAGGACTCAATTGCTCAGGCAAATGAAGCTGCCAACGAGACAGTGTCCGGTATTCGCGTTGTACGTAGTTTTAAAGCAGAAAAACACGAGGCCGGTCGCTATGACAACTGCCTGATGGACACACACAAGCTCAAGACCAAACGGGACACAGTCCGAGCTGTTTACCTGCTCACACGGCGGGTGAGGTTTTTGTTTTCTTTTGTAAAAAACTTAAAGGTCATGTTTTCTACACAGACGTACAGTACATTTATTTAAAAGTATTTGTTCCTCTATGTGTGTTTACAGTTGACAGGGTTGGGCATGCAGGTCTTCATGTTGTACTACGGCAGGCTGTTTATCAAGAGAGGACAGATGACCACTGGAAACCTGGTTTCCTTCATCCTCTACCAGTCAGACCTTGGAGACAACATCAGGGTATCTCATAATGCTCTGTGAATTTTTGTTAGTCAGAGAAAATGATTTAAAGCACCTTAAAGTGTTAGCTTTTAAGTTGATTTAGAAATAAAAAGGTAAAGGACAACTATGAACAACCAATGTGTTTTTTAATGAATTGTACTCTTGATACTACTAACATGCAAAGAAGGCTTCTACCAGCCTGTTGCTACACAGCACATACAGTTGATATGAACATCTGCCTCTGACCAGGCAAACAGCCAATCAAACTTCAGGATTTTGGAGCGGCACCTGGGAGGCCAATCAGATTTATTGGGGGCGGTGCCGTGCCTTACCACCTCTCTGGATCTGATCCTAAGTTTTTATTTTTAAAAAGTATGATTCCCTCTGGGATGAATAAAGTAAATTCTGATAAATTTTATATTTCCTCAACAAGGTTTTTCCATCGGCTCGTTGTTTTAAATATGTCCAAACAGACATGTTGTGAATCACTATCAAATGTACATTCTGCAAGTTTCATTCTATAAATCTGTCTTCCAGACTCTTACCTACATCTTCGGTGACATGCTGAACTCAGTGGGGGCTGCAGGGAAAGTATTTGAATACCTGGACAGGAAACCACAGGTCAGCACAGAGGGAACACTGAAACCTGACCAGCTGAGAGGACACGTCAGCTTCCACTGTCTCAACTTCTCCTATCCGGCTTCCCCCAACAAAAAAGTTCTGCAGGTGAGGTTTGAACGACAGGTACACAAGAGGAACTCTTCGGTTGAAATTGGACACTTCATGTAAAAAAATAATTGACTTGAATAAATAAAAACATCAAAGATAGTTATCTACACCGCTCTGTCTTCATGAGTCCGCTGGATAAAAGTTCATTTATGCAGCGTTGTTAAACTTGTTGTCTCTTTGGCTCAGGACTTCTCTTTGGAGCTGAAGGCAGGTCAGATGACAGCACTGGCGGGTCAATCTGGACAGGGAAAAAGCACCTGTGTGAGTCTGCTGGAGCGGTTCTATGACCCACAGGATGGAGAAATCCTATTGGACAATGAACCTCTGAAATCATATGATCACCGCTTCCTCCATAAGAAGGTATTTAAGCATTGTGCCTTTTTTCTGGTGATGAACTCTTAATCTGTCTCAGATCATTTCTGTCTTTTAAATGTCCTTTAACTGTTCTGTATTTATTAGTAAAACATCAACATTAAACAATCTCAATGAACAAAATCTATAGGGAAAAATAAATATTGGATTAGAATGCAGTTAAAAAATGAATGTTTATAATGGATTAAAATGTTTATTGCAGCAGTGAAACATAGTTTGAGTTTGGGGTCTAGGCTCCGACCTCAGCACTCTTTGCAGATTATTTTACATGCAGAAATATGAGGAGTGATAAGATACATCCTTATACATTCTTTTACATGTATGACATCTGTTTTAACAGATTGCTGTGGTGAGCCAGGAGCCTGTGCTCTTCTCTGGCTCCATCAGAGACAACATCGCCTACGGGCTTGCAGACTGCTCATTGGAGGAGATCCAGGAAGCAGCTCGCAAAGCCAACGCCCATGACTTCATAAAACTGTTGGAGAAAGGCTACGACGCAGGTGAACTTTAATACTGTTTTACATGGACAGGTGCCGACATAAAAACCTACTCAGCATGTTTGAGGTTTTTTGAATGAAGGAAGAACACTTTACTTATATTATTGTGTTTTGAACATGTATATTGATTGTCTGGAATTATACTGGCTAAATAAAGATGTGTAACACTTAAGAGGGCTAAGGTTGAGCCCTATTATTAGATTTTAAAAATCTTCAGATTTTCTTCATCTTGCAGCTTTTTTTATTTAAACATTAAACTAAAATCAAATTGTTCCAATGTTCTTTCTTTCTCAGAGGTGGGTGAGGGTGGCGGCCAGTTATCCAAGAGCCAGAAGCAGCAGATTGCCATCGCTCGAGCTTTGGTCAGGCAGCCACAGGTCCTCATTCTGGATGAAATAACCAGCTCACTGGACGCGCAGAGTGAAAATAAGGTAACTTCTCTACAGTGTGGTGTAAAGATGTGCCCTTAAGGATAGAAAGTCTCTGACACAGGTGTAATACCATAAGGTCGTAGAATACTTCCTGTTCTTAGAGTTGATGTATCTACAAATGTTGACGTGTCCCCAAAAGTAGGTGAAGAAAACTGCAATAATGAATATTTAGATGAGGTGCTGCATGTAGAAAACACTCACATATAATGTCTCAGTTAACCAATTTGCCCCTACAAAGAAAAACTCTGTAGAGAAAATTACATTTTTTTGAGTTTCTATCAAAGATAGACATGATGTCTTAATGGCTGCAACCATTTTTCTATTTTATTAATATTTCTTTAAACTCCCCAAAGTCAAACAACAGTGAGCCATCAGCCCGTTACAGATTACAATACAGCGCTGAGAGAAAGTTCCTCCGTCATTACACCCTTATACTTACACATCTACAATATGTCTCAGTGTGTGAGTTCACATTGCATTGTGGCGTTGGGGAAGCCTGAGAGGCAGATGGGAGAAGATGGGATGGGTCACTAACGATCTTCTTAGCTTGTTCAAAAAGTAGTCTGCGGGGATGTGTGATGTTTCCCTCCTAGCCATGCAGTCTGAATCAATTGGATGCATTTGGTTTTGAACTGCACGGACATGTTGTCAAAGATGAGATATACTATCTGTGATTTTCTGCTTACTGCACAGGTTCAGCAGGCCTTGGCTAACTGTCCCAACCTGACCCTGCTGGTGATCGCTCACAGGCTGAACACCATTGAGAAGGCAGATCAGATCATTTGGATTGGTGAGGGCAGAGTTCAGGAGCGAGGGACTCACCAGGAGCTGATGGACAAGAAGGGGAGCTACTACAAACAGAGAGAGAAGCTCTTCACTGAGGGAAACTCTGCACAATGACACCTGAGGCTGTAGCTCCATGTACACTGTGTTAGTCTGCAGCTAACCTGATCAAATAATGTGATAGAACAAGTTGCAGCTCATGTAAATATTTTGATATTAAACTTAAACAATGTGGACTTGTGTATATATATAATTTTTCTTGTATGTCTAGAATTCAAAACACGCAGCCCTTTAAATCTCCTCTTTATGTATATAACTGCTTATTTATTTTGTTTGCTGTTAGAATGTTTATTACCTTACTTTATTAATTAATAATTAATAATTTTGGCTTGACATATCTATCAACTGCCTCCTTTTTCATTTCATGTCCTGTATTTGGTTTAGGGATTATTAAAGTTTGGCACAGTTCTGGACATATGACGTCCATAAACCTTCATTTGCAATCAGAGTGGCCAAAGGTTGTTTTATCAGTATGTCCCAAATAAAACATGTATGTGTCTTAATGGATTGTCAAGCCTGATGTTGCATATATATTTATTTCTCTAAACACATTCTTAGTCTGTTCAAATTATACAAATGCAAGGTGCAGTAAACGAGAAGAGAAGCGTGAGGTTGAAAGTGTTTGGTCTGAACAGGATTTTAGAAACGCTCTAGCAAGGAAGAAGTTATTTGGAAAGCTGCCTGCTGATGTGCGTCATAAAAACAGAAGGTACAGGGAAGTGATTTGTTTGAAGCATTATGTCGAAAACACCAACTCCCTCTATCGACCGAGATGATGCTCAGCTTAGCTGTCACCATTTTGTCCACACCTCTGTGCATCCACAAAATGGTGACTGAAGTCAAGTTTACATTTCCCAACATTTGAAGTTTTAATGGGAAGCTGCACAATTCATCTTTTAGTATACAGCAAAACAGATGTTAGTGTAATGATTTATACATCAAACATGTTAAACTTTAGATTATTTTTAAAGGCAAGAACCCGGACTACTGGCTAGCTGAGAACAAAATGCAAATGAGGTCATGAGGAGGGGGGCTGGTTTGTATTCAGGGAGGAGATGAACACACGGGGGAAGGTGCGAGGATCAGGTGGTTTTGGTTGGTGTGTTGGAAACACTCTGAGGACAACTACAGGGCAGGTGAGGTACTGAAGGTTTCAACGACAGAAAACAAACTTGCAAGGCTTTCGATGTGAGAATCACCTTTTATTGGTCAGGTATGATAACACATACAAGGAATCTGACTTTGACAAACTATGCTCTGTATGTACAAAAGTACAACATTAAATATCAAACAATAAACAGACAAAAATGATCATGTCCTTGACAGTAGGGCAGTGGTGAGTAGTGCAAAAGATGCTGAAATTAACATGGTGATATATGGTGTAGTTATGTAACAGATGGGTTCATTTACAAGAGGAAGATAGTTTCAGAGTATTTACATGAAAGCTGTGTGTGGAGAGTGATGTCAGATGTGGAGGATCAAAATATGTACATGATTAAGTGACCATAAAATGTGGATAAAAAAAACTGTACAAATGTCTGCTTTTAAAAATATAAATATAAAGGTCTTTATATTCACATTGTTCTTAAAAACCTGACGGCTCAGAGAGACAGGCTTCATCGGACGCAGTGACCCATCAGATCAGTTGACTCAGCTGCGTCCCATCAGTTCATGTGTGCCACCTGCAGTTCACAAAGGCTGCAGGGCACAAAGTTGAAAAGCTAATTGCCAAAAAGTGCCGGCCATCTTAGGTGGAGTCTTACAGAAACCAGGACACAAAATGGCCGGCTGCACGTGTTAGATAAAAGAAACTATGGGGCGTTATGGTGAACTATAGTGTCACATAATGATGGCTGTATCAGAGAATGTGGTGTTTATACATCTGTCATGTGCGTCCTCTCACGTCAGTCTGCACCTTTAAACACTCTTTATGTCTTTATGGATGGGTGGATGTGCCGTGAAGCTTTTGCCTAACCAGTTCTGCACCATACCACTCTGCATCACCACGCAGCCGAGCTGGAAAGTCCCGTCTCTTCTTTCTTTCGCTTTCTCTCTTTATTGTGTTGCGTGCTTGGTGGCTGCCTGAATCAGCCAAAACACGGCCAAACCCAAGAGTTACTGAAAGCATTCTGCATACTTTTACATTTTCAGCTTCTGTTGTTGTTGTTTTTTTTTTAAAGATTTGAAGCAATGTGATGGTAAAACTGGACCCTATGGATGTTTCTCTGTATGTTCTTAATCCACGTTTGAGATTTTTGAGTGTTAATCTCATTCAGACTAACTTTGGTTATGATTTATCGGCCCTGATCAATGACACACACAAGTATGAGTCACTGATCAAGATGACCAGAGCCCATTGTGCCCCTCCACCACAGCCTTAGTGAACCCAGTGATATTACTATTATCATACCTCCACGACACAAATGACCCGTCACAGCTTTAAAATAAGGTCGTCACAACTCTCCACCTTTGATACTTTTTAATACCACACATTTTAAAAGAAGACAAACTCTTTTATTTTGGTGATCAACACAAGCGAAAAGTGCTGAAGCTTTAAAAAAAACATCTTTTTCATAAGAAGGGTCAAACTCCTGCACACTGTATAATTGCACAAATACATTGGCAACACATTTGAGACAGTGCTCAGAGGAACTAAACTACACGTCAAAAGTGAGTTAAATCAGCAAGAAAAGTGTAACTTCAAAAAGAGTCTTTGTAATGTGATCCTCGCTTCTCTTCTCCTCTTTAATATAAAAGTAATACAGGAACTCACGCAGGATAAAGCATCACAGACATGACTCCCTTCTTTTCCACACCTCATCTAGTTTTGTTTGACAGATGTTTTAAAAAAAGTGGGTTTTAATGGAATAGCATCAAATAGTAAAGAAGTGACATAGGGAATAACATTCCTCATCAAAATCATATGCAATAATTGAGCTATGAGAATAAAGTGATTTTGGATGCATCACATTCTAATCTTGAAATAAGCTGTGTAGTCACAGTTAGCTGAGCCAGGCCCTGCCTCTGTGTTGTTTTATAACAGGGTCATCCCCCTCTGTGTTTTTGTGAATCCCCTAACTTCCCTGGGGAGTGTGGCAACTGCAGCATTTACTGCCGCACACGTTTGTCAGGTTGTTCTGAGACTAGAGCAGCTCATTCAAACACACCCAATCAAACAATGATCTGCAGCTATGTTTCGGAAAGTCCCGGCTGATGACCAAAGGGTAACACTAAAAGCTGATCTGAAGTCTGTTTTTGACGTCGGAGCACAAGACTGGGCGGGTAGAAACTGATCCTCTGTCAGCTGAAAACAACTTTACAGCCCTTATCTTTCGGCAGTGTAACAGCGCCTCAGTTGGTTGTGTTTGCCAAATTTACCAACAATCATGTGATTTCTGGGAAACCGAGAGCTCAGCAGAAAGGCAGACAGGAGGCTCTCCAAAGTCATGAAGCTACAATCATTACCTTTGACTGCCATCTAGTGGGATTAAGAAAACAGGAATTTCAACACACCAAACAGCAAAGCTTCATAAGGGTTAAGGCTTTTTAATGTAAGAACATTTTCAGCTTTTTGAACAGTGATGTTGTTTTGTTGGAGCTCCTGTGTGCATGCAGATCTACAAGAAACAAAAGGCAGCATCTGAAGCAGAATGGCTGCATGAATATTGACTTAAATCCTCTTTAAAAATCTGTTGTGTGTTTGATTGGAGATTACACCAGTCACAGAAGTAAAGTCAAGAAACTACCATTAAAACATGGCAGTTTGGGGGGATTGAGGCAGCTGAATTTCAGTGGCAGGACAGTTTCTCTCTTAACCAAACTATCAAAATGTAATATGAATAGAAACTTATCATCGAGGGGCTATAGTGCAGATTCCCTCAGAATGACGTGAGGCTGTGACATCATGTACTTAAAACAGAGCTGTGATAGAGAGCATTAGTGACAGTAACCTTTACCATGCAGCCTAACAGACCTGATTTCCTGTAACTCCTCTGTCTGGATAAATGGCAACTGAAAGCAGGCTGCCATAACTACTGACAGATACAAATGAAGGATCGTTAGTGCCCCCAAGTGGTTAAACAAAAACACATTTTGGTAAAACCTGGACACACATCTGTAAGTAAATAAAGCTATAAAAATAAACATAAAAGCAAGGGAACATGGTAAATACCTGAATTTAACAAATACAACAGATTTTATTTTCCAGCTCTGCTTTTATACTTGTTCTCTCTGTAATGCAGGATTATGATATCTTTTAGAGGAGTGGTTCTCAAATGGTGGGTCGGGACCCAAAAGTGGGTCGTGGACCCCTTTTTTTAGTGGGTCGTGAATGTGGAAAAAAATGTATGATGCATTTCTAAAACATGTTTTCCATGTCTCTTCTCTTTGTTCTGTCACACTTTGATCCTCCTGAAGTTCAAACTGAACTTTTCTTTAATTAATAAGGGGTGGCTGTGGCTCAGTGGGTAGAGTCGTTGCCTCTCAACCAGAAGGTCGAGGGCTTGATTCCCAGCTGTCCTTGGGAAAGACACTTAACCCTGCATTACTCCCGCTGCTTCAGTTGCGGTGTGTGAATGGATTAGTGTTGTACTTACTCTCTGATGAATTGTAACATTGTAATAAATCTCAGTGGCTGAAAAATGATTTGGGTCTCGATTTCTCATTAAGGATGTTGTGGTTGTTCCTGAGACTAGACCAGTTGAGAACCACGGTCTTAGAGAGTTTGATTATCATATTTATATGCTAATTGTACATCAATATAACTGTTATTGATTGGTAAGCTCTAGTTTTGGCTGATGTTTAATGTTGATGCTTTTAGTTTTGTTGTGATTGTTTGACCTGTCGTCATGGAGCTTGTCAGCCTATTGTTGGTGTACAAATCCACATATATGCTTGTGAACCCAAATTTAAAACAAAATCACCTGAAGAAGAGTTAGGCCGTGTTCACACTTGACTTCTTTTTTCAACTGCCAGAGCCTTTTTCACATACAAGCCTATGGAAAAAGGAAAAAGGATGACGCCTTCTTCAGCTGAATTATTCCAACTTTTCAGAAAAGCGCTGGGTGACGTCAAGCACCTTTCTGAAAGCTGACCAATCAGGACGAGTAGTAACCTACGTCCCTAGTTACCTGTGCCCCAAAACGGCACACCTGATCTGTGTGCATTGCGTGTCCGCTCCGGTCCGTTACGGGTCCGTGCGTCCTCATCCATCAACACCCAGCGGCTGTGATCTCAGTCTGCAGCACGGAGAGCACAGCCGGACAGCTGGAGCACGGAGACAAAGGAGTTTCCGGGGTAATTTAACAGATTTAACAGTTTTTCTGAACCGTCAAAACGGAGGGTGTTATTCTGAAAATAAACCGGATGTTTTAATGTTGTATCGGTGTCTGACTTCCTGTCCCCCTTGTTCTTTTTTGTTCTTTTTTGTGCTAAACTGATGCGTCGTGTTCTATGGTCGTGTTCCGGCGCGGTTGCACCGCAGACTACATCCTGTTGTTATGTT